GTGTGTGTGTGTGTGTGTGTGTGTGTGTGTGTGTATGTGTGTGTGTGTGTGTGTAGCAGGAAGAAGCACTTTTCTGTTACTAAAACACATATTTTTCCCTCTGCTCTTTTACCTGCCAGGTTTATTTGTTGTGCAGAAACGTTTCATCAATTGTTGTTTTTAGGAACTTTTCCCTGGCAGCTGTGTCCCCGGTGTGGATTCTCGTGTCTCTGTGACAGGATTATAAACTCATGCATATTCTCCTCTGGATTATGTTTAGATACAAATCATAAACGCAGCGTGAGCGTCTTCTTCTCAAATTTATTTTTAAATTGATCTGAAATGAGAAAACCAGCAATGGCAAACCTGCTTCAGAACACTGTGGACGACCGCTGCTGTTCCCTGTGTGCTGGTCTCTGTGCGCTGGTCTCTGGTGCTGTTCCCTGTGTGCTGGTCTCTGTGTGCTGGTCCCTTTGTGCTGTTCCCTGTGTGCTGGTCTCTGTGTGCTGGTCCCTGTGTGCTGGTCCCTGTGTGCTGGTCCCTGTGTGCTGGTCTCTGGTGCTGTTCCCTGTGTGCTGGTCCCTGTGTGCTGGTCCCTGTGTGCTGGTCTCTGTGTGCTGTTCCCTGTGTGCTGTTCCCTGTGTGCTGGTCCCTGTGTGCTGGTCTCTGGTGCTGGTCCCTGTGTGCTGGTCCCTGTGTGCTGGTCCCTGTGTGCTGGTCTCTGTTTGCTGTTCCCTGTGTGCTGTTCCCTGTGTGCTGGTCCCTGTGTGCTGGTCTCTGGTGCTGGTCCCTTTGTGCTGGTCTCTGTGTGCTGTCCCTGTGTGCTGGTCCCTGTGTGCTGGTCTCTGTGCGCTGGTCCCTGTGTGCTGGTCTCTGTGTGCTGGTCTCTGGTGCTGGTCCCTGTGTGCTGGTCTCTGTGTGCTGGTCTCTGGTGCTGGTCCCTGTGTGCTGGTCTCTGGTGCTGGCCTTTTAAATGAATCCGTGTATGTGATTGGATAAACCACCTGTCTGTTATCTTGAATGATGTGTTCCTTCAACCACTCACATCGATGCACACAATTCAGCACTCTACTCCTCACAGCGCTGCAGGGTTGCCAAATGCTGGCAAGATTTTCCAGCCTAAAACCTGCTAGAATGCCCCCAAATAAAACATGCAGAATGATTTTTTACCTAAAAACGTAATGTAATCAACTTGGGCTATCACTATTCTGTTTTTATGTATTTATTACCTACAAGTTGTTTGGAAAAAAAGTATGCAGGAAACCAACCAACCTGGCAACCCTGCTACATAGTGTTTCAACAGGAGAACTTAAACATTACTTAAACCACACTTTACATGAACATATGACTCGTAAACACACATCGTTCTTATTTTAAAAAATAAAAATAAAATCACAGACTATATGTCCGCCGGCGGTGCAAACCCAACGTAACACCGGCGAACCTGACATGTCGCTATCCCATCCTGGAAAAAATAAAGTGTTACAATAACAGATAAGTTTATTAAAGACAGTTCAGCGTGTGGCGTTGCCCATTACAGGCTCTACTGAAGCTGCCTACGGAGCTCCGGTATTTATTCTAGCAAAGCAGAAACCAGACTCAACCATTTGAGGTAAAGACTTGATTCACTAATTTAAAAACAGATGATTGTGGTTTGAGTCTGGTGTGGTCCCTTGGGTAAAAAAGAAAAAAAAGATCCATTTGGCTGTACTTTTATATACACACGGTTCAATAATAAATGTCAGTTAACATTACCAAGTCCATCCTCCAGGAGTTCTCCAAAGCGGCTGTTATTGTTGAGGTTTTTTCTTTCAGCGAGGGTCCTTGGTTTGAAAGAAGTTTGCCATTTAGAGAAGGAACTATCAGCAACATTTCTGCCAAACATCATCTCAAAGTCTCGGTTAATCTAGAAGACCCGATGAATTATATTATGACTGATGTGGAAATAGTAAAGCAATAAGTAATGTATACTTTGTAAACCTGGTGTGTCAAGAAATCTAGGAAAAACATCCAAAAGAGAGACAGAGCCTTGTTGGTCGTGTACTAGAACAGTATCCATGTGATCGTTTGGACTGTGTAGAGTTAGCATCGCTTTAGCTTCTTGGCTCCATCTCAGAATAGCTGGTCTTCAAGTTGTAGCCAACGCTTTCTTTTCGGATTAACTTCCTGATAAAAGTTTGTGGTAGGCCTCTTCGATGGAACTGTGTATCGCTGACGTATTTTTATTCTCCAGGACAGACCCACCCACAGGGTCATCGAGGTGCTCCTTAAGAACAATAAAAGTATTGAAAATGATTCATGCAGGTGCACAAAAGATAAGCTGTATATAAAAAGAGAACTTACAAGTCCTTTCGCTGAGTTGGGATCTCTCAGAACAGGGAACACGATACATCGTGTAAAAGTATATCTGGGTTTCCGTCAACTTCCAACAGCATCATCACTGATTTGAACTCTTTTGAATTTTCTGTGTGGTCATTGTGGAAAAGTTCTATCAGACTTTAGGGAATGGGAGTTGGAAGTTAAAGGAATTTGTTGGTATTGGTGTCTTCTTTGGTTTGGGTTTTCTGTCCTGTTGTGTTGATTGTGACCTGTGATGGCTGGTTTGGCCTAAACACAACACGTTGTTGTGTTCTTACCAGCGTTGCACTCTGAGGTTCTGTCTTCTTCTCTGGTGGGAACCCTGAGGTTGTGGCGGACCAGCTCTGTACTCAGGCCTCTGCTCTAGACTGTCCTTTGAGCCGGTCAGAGAACTTAGAGTCATTTCCATATTCTTGACCAAAAGGGCTGTTCTCTTCAATGTTGGGTGGATATCATCTGGGCGTAAGACCGGGCTTTCCCAAAAACAAAGACAACACCACGTTGAGGGCACCAACCAGACAGCCAGCGATGGAAAGATAACATGCTGCTGTATGCTTCTTCACTGCCGGTGCTAGGAAGGGGACCAGAGAAGATAACCGTGTCCGCCATTGTGCTCGCCAGATTACAAACGGCGGCAACCTGCACCTTCAACATCTCTGCTGTTGTCTGTTTCCGCCGAACGTCATTGCCACCCGCGTGAATAACGACTAGACGAAAACGCTGCTTGTTTTGGTTCAGGACCCTCAGATTCCCCTCAATGTCCCCCATCCTGGCCCCAGCGTAGCACAGAACAGTGGCCCCTGGGATCTCCACACCTCTTACAATAGAGCTGCCAATTACCAGCACATCAGCGGTTCTCTCGGTGGGGTCCTCTTCTGCGCTCGGCCGCGAGGGCTAGCTTCTGGTCAGAGCAGCCGGCGAAATCTTTTCTTGATGACTTTGCTTCATCCTTTGCATTTCTTTGCATTCTTCCTCCCATTTCATCTTCATGTCTTCAAAATGCTTCTTCAGACTTTTTCCCTCTCAAGGAGTTGGGTTCAAGAGCCCAAGCTGTGTGTGGAGGTGAGGCCGACTATCTCTAGTCGGTATCGCTCAACCTCCCCCACAAGCTCGGGCTCCTTCCCCCCAGTGAGGTGACGTTCCACGTCCCAAGAGCCAGATGTTGGGTGTGTGGACTGGGTCGTCGAGGTCTCCGCCTTCGACTGCTGCCCAGTCCTCTCTACACCGCGCCACCATGGACCCCTCTGCAGGTGGTGGGCCCACAGGAGGGACTGCCCACGTCATCCCTTCGGGCTGAGCCCGGCCGGGCCCCGTGGGCTAAGGCCCGGCCACCAGGCGCTCGCTTGCGAGCCCCGACCCCAGGCCTGGCTCCAGGGTGGGGTCCCGGCTGCGCCATACCGGGCGACGTCACGGTTCTCATTGTCGTGCTGTCCATGGTTGGCTTCGGACTGCGCTTCGTCTGACTCGTCACTTGAGACCTGTCTGCCATGGGAGGCCCTACCAGGGGCATGAAGCCCCAGACAGCATAGCTCCCAGGATCATCCGAGTGCTCAAACTCCCCCACCACGTTAAGGTGGCAGTCCAAGGGGGGAGGCAGTCCAAGGGGTATCCCAGATTTAAAAAAAAAAATATATATATATATACATATATATATATATATATGTATATATATGTATATATATATATATATATATATGTATATATATTATTGTTTATACAATTTTGGGAATGTCTCCATTATATACATTTTATGATACATTATAAGCTGTTGTTTTCTTATGTACAGTATCTATATATGTTTTCTGCCTAATACATGACTCCACATTCCGGTACGTCAGACGCTAAAGTCAAAATGTTTAAAACACAAATCATGCAAAACAATCGTTCTGTTTATTCAGTTCAGTCACATCTGTCTCAATTATTGTAAACTCAGCAAAACATTTTAAACTAATTTAAAATAGACTCAAACTGTTGCAACATGTTCCATCAGACACATCTGCGAAGGTTCTCAAACTTCCCATATTTAACATTTCACTGTGTCAGATACGAGTTTCCGCTGCTAAACCGCTCGACAGTATTTAATTCAGCGTTTGTTTCCTCGAGACACTCGCAGCTCATAAAAACAATTCATCATGTAAATGTTTTTTAAGCCTAATTGGCCGTTGCTGCATTTCTGTCCACTCGGAACAATCATAATGTGATTATGTCAGGCTGATTTCATTGGGAAGGCTGGTCCTACACACACACACACACACACACACACACACACACACACACACACACACATGTATCAGAGGAGAACCCCTGAGCTGGGTTCAGGTGGAGTCTGATCGTGGGTTTTTGACATTAATCATCAGCCCTCATTCCTAAAGTCATGTTTTTCTCATAAATTAGAAACACATATTTGTGAGTGTTCTTTGCTTCTTCACCCGACCTCAATCAGACCTTAGAGTAGAGTAGAGTAGAGTAGAGTAGAGTAGAGTAGAGTAGAGTAGAGTAGAGTAGAGTAGAGTAGAGTAGAGTAGACTAGACTAGACTAGACTAGACTAGACTAGACTAGACTAGACTAGACTAGACTAGACTAAGGTTGTAGTCTCTCCATGTCCGGCCTCTTCCTGTGGCTCTCCTCTAGGTGGCGCTGTTTTCCTCACTGTTCTTGACCGATGCGTGGCAACACCGGAACGCCCTCAAAGCTCCTCTTTTTATCTCTGAGTGCGTCGGGTCTCCTGGCGGCGCCCTCCCACACGCCGTCCACGCCGCACCTGCAGCATTTGCATCTTAACCACTTTACGGCGGCTGAGTCGGAGGCGACAGACGCGGCGTGTTATGACAGCACCATTTTTCATCATTCCACAGTTTGATTACGGCGCCGTGTGATGGATGGAGCGAGCGCCGCAGTCCAACGCATCCCGCGGATCAGAGGCGCCCGCAGACTGACATCACCGCAGCTGCTCCGTGGGAAAAGTCACCGGAAAACTAGTATTTAAATGTTTATGGGAAAGTGTTGATAATTATACTTTTGTCGTTTGTGTCTGTGTGATATTGGGCGGCACGGTGGCTGAGTGGTTAGCACTCTTCCTTCTCAACAATCCTGGTCTGAAAAGGGTCTATCTGAGCGGAGTTTGTATGTTCTCCCCGTATCTACGTAGGTTTCCTCCGGGGGCTCCGGTTTCCCCTAGCACTGAAAACATGTACAAACACAATTGTAACGCTCTCTGTGACTCTCTGTGAAACGTGCTCTATAAATAAAGATTGATCTTGATCTTTCAGCGGGGGCCTCAGGCACAGTAGGGTAAAGTGTCTTGCCCAAGGACACAACGACAGCAGACATCAGTGGAGTGGGTGGAGATGGTCTCTAGGTGGGCTCGAGACCATCAACAAGGTTCACATTTATTATTGGTTAATTAACATGTTTTTCATTTCGGGCTGTAAATATTCCACAGAGCACCTTTAAGGATATGTCTGCTTTGGTCGTCCCGCTCTCTGTGGATTTAGACCAATGGCTTCTATGTGTTTGTTATTATTGCATTTCCTTTGGTCAACCTGTTTTATCCTCTGATGTGTTGTGTCCATGGAGACAACTGCTGCTGTGATTTAGCTTTACAAAAACAAAAACAAAATGAAATTTGCAGTAAAATCGTCAATAAAAAATTGCACCAACAATCTTTCCCAGACGTACAACAGGCTCCAGTTCTGCAGATTCTTTCTCAGGGCCTGAGCCACTGCTGTCTCACTGCTAATTTACACATGACGCGTTACAGCACGTACGCGTTATACGCGCGTAACTTTTTTCCATGTTAACCAATGGGGATATTTACACTACTAGTGTTATACGCGCGTATGACGGATGTAATGACGCGAGGCTGCGCCTAATTTAGGATTAATTTCTAATTTTGTGCGCGCAGCAACCCGTCTCCCATTGAAAACACATGTAAACCATGATTTTTATTGTGACCCTTGGATTTAGATCGCATCTAAATGAAGTGACATGTAAATTTCTTCTCTGTGAGATAAATAAAGCAATCTTATCTTATCTTATCTACACACACACAGCACTTGTATCTAAACAATAGGAGGAGGACTGGCAGGTTTTACAGTGATTCTGGACATCGTTTTTTTTTCATTCATGAAGCCTCGCGTCTGGCCAGACCAGCGCACAGAGACCATGAAGACAAACCCATGCATGTGATTTGTGTTGCTCTACATCTGTCCTCTGGCCCGTACTGTCCTCTACACTGCTCCATAGACTACACAGGGAGAGCATCAGAAGCCTCAGACCTGCGCGCACGGCCAGTGTAGATACACCGAAATAATATTACGCGCACATGCGCGCAGTCAACGCGTACGCGCTGTTAACGCCTACAGTGTAAATTCCCTGTCAGAGTGCTCTTCACACGCTGACAAGAAATATGTGAGAAAAGGTACTCCAGACCCTTCAGGCCTAAACCACACAAACAAAGCACATATTTTCCCTGTTGAAATGCACCGGCGCTCTCCCGCCCGTGCATGCCCGCTCGTGCACGCCCGCCCGTGCACGCCCGCGCTGGCTCAGAGGCGGTGTATTGATTACTCATAAGCGTTCATTATAAACGTGTGGTTATGTCGCATGAGGGGCCGGGGCAGATGTTTATCCCCTGCTCCGGGGACTTTAATGAGGTGTGATTGTGGTTACAGCGCCGTGGACTTTGATTCATGCTAAACTGATAGTCTGTAATTAACTTTTATGACAATAGTTATGAACAGTGGCTGTCTACGTGGGCTCATATCTGTCCACCGGCGCTAATTGGTCGGATTGTTTTGTTTTTGTTTGCTTCACCAAGGCCAACTTGTAAACGGCTCGTGCAGTTCGGCCATTTTCAAAAACGTAAAACAAGGGTCTATATTCATATGTAGAAAATGTTATTTATCCCAGAGGACGGTTCATTTGTAGCAACACAGCCATGAACTTTATCCTCTGAGAGATACTTCTCAGATGTGTTTCTGTAGCGATGGAAATTCAGACTATGGGCCACGCAAGTCAAACTGCGGCCTGTGGGCTAAATCCGGCCTGTAAGGATAATTCTGGTGGCCCCTGAAATGATTTACAATTATCATTATGACGGTTTCTTGCAGCATTGATGGTGATTGGATACTAAAGCCTAATATCTCAGGAAAACAACCATATATTTAAACTAACATTTTAACTTAGGGTTGAGGCGGGTGTTTCATCAGTTTTATTAAAAATAATTTCTAATGTTTTCTTTTTTTTAACCTTTACTCACTTTAACTATGTACTAACACTGGTATAAATACAACCTAAGGCTAAACTGCAGACAATAAACAGTGCGTTGCTAATGCCACCAGCGCTCACTTTTCTCTAGTTGAAAACCCAGACGAATCCAGGACCAGCACCTTGATAAACTGGATTTAACTGCCACAGAAAGAAATGAGAAAATAAATAATAATGACACTGTTGTCTTGAGTTTTGAATGTTGAGGGAAGAAGGACGGAGGACCACAGGGTTCTGGTGAGGAGAAGTTTACTGAGACACAACAAAGCTCTGGTCTCAGGTCTGCTCGAGCCCGGATCAACCTACAACCAGGGTCTTTATACGGTTGGGACGACACCAAGAGGCTTCAAACACCGACCATTCAACCACAGACCCTGGTAGGATTCAACCACAGACCCTGGTAGGATTCAACCACAGACCCTGGTAGGATTCAACCACAGACCCTGGTAGGATTCAACCACAGACCCTGGTAGGATTCAACCACAGACCCTGGTAGGATTCAACCACAGACCCTGGTAGGATTCAACCACAGACCCTGGTAGGATTCAACCACAGACCCTGGTAGGATTCAACCACAGACCCTGGGGTGACATAAGCCAAGAACTCATGACTTCAATCCTCTCTTTTTTAATTATCCACAATAATTTGTCTCACTATAGTATAAAAATGCGTTCTCATCTACATTTGCACATCATATTTGTCCATATCAGAATATTGTTCAAATGAACAAGGTATTTCTGATTGATGAAAAATAGTAGATAAAACATGATATTATTTAGATAAATTGACGTGTAAACACTTTCAGCAGAGAAACGTCCTCTTTCTACGTTATTGGCAGGTACAAAGAGATGAAACTACTGAGGCTGACTTCTCTCATCTTGAAGTATGTCTTTGGAAAATCTCTAAATTTGCTCAATTAAGAGAAACCCATAGACATATTTGTTACATTCCTTCATTTTCATCCCTTTATTAGTTCATTTCTGGGTCGGGGGGTGGTAATCAGAGCTGCACCCAACGCTCACAGCACCAGTCCCTCTGATCCTCTGCAGGGGGTGGGTCCACAGGAAGATGGCTGCTCCTTCAACACAGATACAGCCTTGATCATTCAGCGGGGGCTTCAGGTAAAGAGGGGTTAAGTGTCTTGCCCAAGGACACAACGACAGTAGTCATCAGTGAAAGCAGGGGACATGGGGACAACTGGGATAACACAAACTTTGTATGGACACTGAAAAGGTCATGAAGACCAAAAAAGTACATACACCGAGTATTTCCGCTTCCAAAACTAAAATCTGTCTTCCTGCTGTGGGAGTGTTGTGTACCTCGGCTTTAACAGTCCTGGTCCAGAGTCGGACTGTGGCCCTCAGACTACAGCGTCTCTGGTGTCCTCTCCTGTCCACTTCTGTCCACTCCTGTCCACTCCTGTCCTCTCCTGTCCTCACCTGTCCTCTCCTGTCCTCTCCTGTCCACTCCTGTCCACTCCTCTCCTGTCCTCTCCTGTCCTCTCCTGTCCTCTCCTCTCCTGTCCTCTCCTGTCCACTCCTGTCCACTCCTGTCCTCCCCTGTCCTCTCCTCTCCTGTCCACTCCTCTCCTGTCCACTCCTGTCCTGTCCACTCCTGTCCACTCCTGTCCTGTCCACTCCTGTCCTCTCCTGTCCACTCCTCTCCTGTCCACTCCTGTCCACTCCTGTCCTCTCCTGTCCACTCCTGTCCACTCCTGTCCTGTCCTCTCCTGTCCAACTCCTGTCCTCTCCTGTCCACTCCTGCACTGTCCTCTCCTGTCCTCTCCTGTCCAACTCCTGTCCTCTCCTGTCCACTCCTGCACTGCCTCACTGTCCTCTCCTGTCCACTCCTGTCCACTCCTGTCCTCTCCTGTCCTCTCCTGTCCTCGTCCTCTCCTGTCCTCTCCTGTCCTCTCCTGTCCTCTCTGTCCTCTCCTGTCCACTCCTGTCCTCTCCTGTCCTCTCCTGTCCACTCCTGTCCTCTCCTGTCCACTTCTGTCCTCTCCTGTCCAACTCCTGTCCTCTCCTGTCCACTCCTGCACTGTCCTTTCCTGTCCACTCCTGTCCACTCCTGTCCTCTCCTGTCCACTCCTGTCCTCTCCTGTCCACTCCTGTTCTCTCCTCTCCTCTCCTCTCCTGTCCTCTCCTGTCCTCCTGTCCTCTCCTGTTCTCTCCTCTCCTCTCCTGTCCTCTCCTCTCCTCTCCTGTCCTCTCCTGTTCTCTCCTCTCCTCTCCTGTCCTCTCCTGTCCTCTCCTCTCCTGTCCTGTCCTCTCCTGTCCACTCCTGTCCTCTCCTGTCCACTCCTGTCCTCTCCTGTTCTCTCCTCTCCTGTCCTCTCCTCTCCTCTCCTCTCCTGTCCACACCTGTCCTCTCCTGTCCACTCCTGTCCTCTCCTCTCCTGTCCACTCCTCTCCTGTCCTCTCCTGTCCCAATCCTGGGAAACGCATAGTTTCACAAGCCACCTAAAACAAACACCAAAACAAAAGAAAAAACTACCTGTGTGGACACACAAAAAAAACATCAACAAGCAAAAACTGATGCAAAACAAATAAGCAACAAAAGAAACACATAAAAAAACAAAAAACCAAAGAGCACAAAACAAAAAAAAAAATGCACACAAAACTGCTGAACTGATGAAACTGTAAAACAAAAAAAGCACACAAACAAACAACAAAAAAAGCACAAAAATGAAAAAAACAATAAAAACTGCAACCAACAAAAGAACAAACAAAAAACAAAAGGCAATATAAGAAAACGAAAAAAAGCAAGCAAAAACACAGTCAAAAAAAAAAACAAAAAAAAAAAAAAGAAAAAACAACTAATAAAAAAAAAAACAACCACAACAAAAGTGCATAAAAAGCAAAAACAGCTTGAAAAACTATAAACAAAAAACAACAAGAAAGTCCTACAACAAAACAAAAAAAAAACAACAAGAACAGCAAAACACAAAAAAAACAACCTGCCCCAAAAGCAAGCTCCAAAATGCCGGGCCACGACACATAAGTCCGCAACACTGGTCCCGCAACACCAGTCCACCCCGGGGAGCACTCGCCAGACAACAAAAAAAAACTCAAAAACTGACCACACCAGGCAAACACAGCCTGTACGCAAATCCTGTCCAAAAAACTTCGGCCAAAAGCACACCATGGAAAGCCAACACCTGGGCCTCCCCGGTCCTCTCCTCGTCCATCTCCACTCATCCACTCCGTGCCTCCTCTCCCCGCCTGTCCTCTCGCGAATCCACTCCCCCCCTCCTGTCCCTCCGCACTGTCCTCTCCTCCCATGTCCACCATCCCTGTCCTCATCGCACACCTCCACTCCTCCTTCCTGCACCAAACTCACTCTCTCATGTACCCTGCACCTGTCCCTCCTCTCCTGTCCAAACTCCAGATCCTGGTCCTGTCCTCGTCCTGGTCCACTCCTGTCCTCTCCTGGGCACTCCTGTCCTCGCTCTATCCCACATCCCTCCCTATCCTGTCCACTCCGGTCCTCCCTCCTGTCTCTCCGTCCTCACCTCTCCTGTCCCACTCCTGCCCTCCTGTCCTCTCCTGTCCATCGCCCCCCGCCCGTCCCTCCCCCCCCCCCCCCCCCACTCACCTCTCTCCCCCCTCAAATCCTGTCCCCTCTCCCCGCTGACTCATCAATCCACCCCCCCCCCCTACTTGCCCCCCCCCCTCCTACTCCTCGGCCTCCTGGCCTCCTGTTCCTCTCCTGTCCTCTCCTGTCCTCGTCCTGTCCACTCCTGTCCTCTCCTGTCCTCTCCTGTCCTCTCCTCTCCTGTCCACTCCTGTCCTGTCCTCTCCTGTCCTCTCGCTCTCTCCGGTCGTGTTCTTCTCGCCTCTTTCATATTTGGACATAAATCTTTCACAGACACAGCGGTGGGACTCACGCTGGTCTGTGTGTCTTTGTGTGTCTTTGTGTGTCTTTGTGTGTCTTTGTCTGCGGCTGCGACTGCTTTTGGTCCATAAGAGAAGACAAAAACAGCTTCAAAGTGTCCGTCTTTCTCTGACTCCATAAACAAAGAATGTTTTATCTTTTTCTTTCAGTCAGAGGTTTGTTTGCAGAGGATATGCAGCAGGAGAGGACTCCTGTCCTCTCCTGTCCACTTCTGTCCTCTCCTGTCCAACTCCTGTCCTCTCCTGTCCACTCCTGCACTGTCCTTTCCTGTCCACTCCTGTCCACTCCTGTCCTCTCCTGTCCACTCCTGTCCTCTCCTGTCCACTCCTGTTCTCTCCTCTCCTCTCCTGTCCTCTCCTGTCCTCTCCTGTCCTCTCCTGTCCTCTCCATCTGTCCTCTCCTGTCCTCTCCTCTCCTGTCTCCCTGTCCTCTCCTGTCCTCTCCTGTCCTCTCCTGTCCTCTCCTGTCCTCTCCTGTCCTCTCCTGTCCTCTCCTGTCCTCTCCTGTCCTCTCCTGTCCTCTCCTCTCCTGTCCTGTCCTCTCCTCCTCCTGTCCTCTCCTGTCCCCTCCTCCTCTGTCCTCTCCCTGTCCCTCCCTGTCCTCTCCCTGTCCTCTCCCTGTCCTGTCCCTGTCCCTCTCCTGTCCTCTCCCTGTCCTCTCCCTGTCCTCTCCCTGTCCCCTCCCTGTCCTCTCCTGTCCCCTCCCTGTCCTCTCCTGTCCTCTCCCTGTCCCCTCCCTGTCTCTGTCCTCCCCTGTCCTCCCTGTCCTCTCCCTGTCCCTCCCTGTCCCTCCTGTCCTCTCCTGTCCCCTCCTGTCCTCTCCTGTCCTCTCCCTGTCCTCTCCCTGTCCCCTCCTGTCCCCTCCTGTCCTCTCCCTGTCCACTCCCTGTCCCTCCTGTCCTCTCCCTGTCCTCTCCTGTCCTCTCCCTGTCCCCTCCCTGTCCTCTCCCTGTCCTCCCTCCCTGTCCCCTCCTGTCCTCTCCCTGTCCCCTCCCTGTCCCCTCCCTGTCCTCTCCCTGTCCTCTCCTGTCCTCTCCCTGTCCTCTCCCTGTCCTCTCCCTGTCCCCCCCTGTCCTCCTCCCTGTCCTCTCCCTGTCCCCTCCTGTCCTCTCCCTGTCCTCTCCCTGTCCTCTCCCTGTCCCCTCCTGTCCTCTCCCTCTCCCTGTCCCTCCTGTCCTCTCCTGTCCTCTCCCTGTCCCCTCCCTGTCCTCTCCCTGTCCTCTCCCTGTCCTCCTGTCCTGTCCTCTCCCTGTCCTCCCCTGTCCCTCCCTGTCCCTCCCTGTCCTCTCCTGTCCCCTCCCTGTCCTCTCCCTGTCCCTGTCCTCGTCTCCCTGTCCCCTCCCTGTCCCCTCCCTGTCCCCTCCCTGTCCCTCCTGTCCCCTCCCTGTCCTCTCCCTGTCCTCTCCCTGTCCTCTCCCTGTCCTCTCCCTGTCCTCTCCCTGTCCTCTCCTGTCCTCCCTCCTGTCCCTCCCTGTCCTCTCCCTGTCCCCCCTCCTGTCCCCTCCTGTCCTCTCCCTGTCCCCTCCCTGTCCTCTCCTGTCCCTCCCTGTCCTCTCCCTGTCCCCTCTCCCTCTGTCCTCTCCCTGTCCTCCCTGTCCCTCCCTGTCCCTCTCCTGTCCCTGTCCTCTCCCTGTCCCCTCCCTGTCCCCCTGTCCTCCTGTCCCTCCCTGTCCCCTCCCTGTCCCCTCCTGTCCTCCCTGTCCCCTCCCTGTCCTCTCCCTGTCCCTCCTGTCCCTCCTGTCCCTCCCTGTCCTCTGTCCCCTCCCTGTCCTCTCCCTGTCCCTCCCTGTCCCTCCCTGTCCCCTCCCTGTCCTCTCCCTGTCCCTCCCTGTCCTCTCCCTGTCCCTCCCTGTCCTCTCCCTGTCCCTCCCTGTCCTCTCCCTGTCCTCTCCCTGTCCCCTCCCTGTCCTCTCCCTGTCCTCTCCCTGTCCCCTCCCTGTCCTCTCCCTGTCCCCTCCCTGTCCTCTCCCTGTCCCCTCCCTGTCCTCGTCCTCCTGTCCCCTCCCTGTCCTCTCCCTGTCCCTCCCTGTCCCTCCCTGTCCCTCCCTGTCCTCCTGTCCTCCTGTCCCTCCCTGTCCTCTCCCTGTCCCTCCCTGTCCTCTCCCTGTCCTCTCCCTGTCCTCTCCCTGTCCTCTCCCTGTCCTCTCCCTGTCCTCTCCCTGTCCTCTCCCTGTCCCCTCCCTGTCCCTCTCCCTGTCCTCTCCCTGTCCCCTCCCTGTCCCCTCCCTGTCCTCCTCCCTGTCCCTCCCTGTCCCCCCTGTCCCTCCCTGTCCCTCCCTGTCCCTCCCTGTCCCTCCCTGTCCTCTCCCTGTCCCCCCCTCCCTGTCCCCTCCCTGTCCTCTCCCTCCTGTCCCCTCCCTGTCCCTCCCTGTCCTCTCCCTGTCCTCTCCCTGTCCCCTCCCTGTCCTCTCCCTGTCCCTCCCTGTCCCTCTCCTGTCCTCTCCCTGTCCCCTCCCTGTCCTCTCCCTGTCCTCTCCCTGTCCTCTCCCTGTCCCTCCCTGTCCTCTCCCTGTCCTCTCCCTGTCCTCTCCCTGTCCCCTCCCTGTCCCCTCCCTGTCCCCTCCCTGTCCTCTCCCTGTCCCCTCCCTGTCCCCTCCCTGTCCTCTCCCTGTCCTCTCCCTGTCCCTCCCTGTCCCCTCCCTGTCCTCTCCCTGTCCTCTCCCTGTCCCTCCCTGTCCTCTCCCTGTCCCCTCCCTGTCCCCTCCCTGTCCCCTCCCTGTCCCCTCCCTGTCCCTCCCTGTCCCCTCCCTGTCCCTCCTCCCTGTCCTCTCCCTGTCCTCTCCCTGTCCTCTCCCTGTCCCTTCCTCCCTGTCCCCTCCCTGTCCTCTCCCTGTCCCCTCCCTGTCCCCTCCCTGTCCCCTCCCTGTCCCCTCCCTGTCCTCTCCCTGTC